TAAGTACAGACGTATCCGTACTGATCTGCAAGACTTTATTAAACCTGCTCATGACTCGTGAGACCTATGTAACCTAGGCTCTAATACCAACTTGTCACGATCCAAAAACTAACTCTGCCGTGATGGCACCTATCGTGGTACTAGGCAAGCCGACACATTACCAAAACAAAATGATATCTTCATTTCAAAGATAATTCTAAAGCTATTTAATATAAAACCTTCATAAAGGAGTTCAAATCAAAACAAATTGCGAAAAGAAAGCCCGACATTGGGGTGTCACTAGCCATGAGCATCTACAATAATCGTCTGACAACATCAAGACTAACATAGTCTGAAAACTCCTCCGTTCACATGTGTTAAAGCCGTATATGCTAGTTAGAACACATGGAACTCCATCTGCTCTCTTAGTAACCTAGCAATGCAGTAGTTGTGATTCCTCTCTCATCTTGTCTGCATTGCATATGTTAGTGTCCCAAAGCAACCAAATCCTGCCATTACTAGCCTTTTGGTAATTGTTTTGAAATTCCCACTTTGGAGCTACAGTGTTAGCTATGATATAATCTTTATGCTCTTTCACTCTAGTTTCAACCAACCCAGCTAAAGTAATGTGTTTGAATTTTAGATAATGCCTTAATTCCTTCTGTTTATACCTCTTAGTAGCACCCATCACATTCCTGAAAAGCCAAGTCATAGAGTAGAGTTAAATTTGCCTCCTCTATCAGGAGGTGCTGATTATGATCCATCACAACCTTTATGTAGCACTTCAAATCCATTCTTAACTGGTACTGAACATAATATAGGAAAATCATGCAACGTCGGTTCAGGTACCTCAGACACTTTTTTCCCTTTGTTTGGAGTGACCTTTGCACTTTGTACTCCCCTTGTGTTTTGTGTGAATTTAGGTTGTTGTTCATGTATTTCCAGTGCAAGTGTCCTCTGTTGTTGTCCACCTCCTTCCATATATTGGTTATCAGCTTCACTATTCTGGGGCACCTCTTGGTGTACACCTTGTTCAATGGTTGGTGTGGTGTCTCTCTTTTGAGATATTCAATGATCTTTGGTTACCCGTATTTGGACAGTCTTATTTGGTCCTCCTTGTTTCCTTGTCTGGTCCATTTGTTGTGCTTCAGTTCTTCTCTGCATAGTTGGACAACGATGGTCAATTACTTGGCATTTGTCACAGAATAATGGTTTCCAGTCATAACTTAGTGCTTGTAGAAAGGTTCTCCCATTTGGATCCATAACTTCTATATCATCTAGAAAAGACTTTGTCACAATGACTTCAACTAGCATTCTTGCAAAGGAGACCCTTGTCTATTTAGTTGTGCACTCATCTGCGTACATAGGAATGCCTATAGCACTGACAATCTTGCTCAACGAATTGTTCCCCCAACAATTCATAGGTAGTTTTTGGAATTTAACCCATAGTGGTATTTCAGTTGGGAATTCCTTATCAATATCGAAATTTGTTATCCATGGCTTCAAGATGATGGGCCGGCTATTAATGATATATGGTCAAGAGTATAGAAGAATCCTATTAAAACCAAGAAATATAGGTCTGCCGTGCATGTCAGCAGTAGTTTGGAATTGGATGATATAATACCCTTCATCATGCTTGAACAAATCAGGACCTGTAATGTTATTCCACTTTTGATCGATATATCTTCGCATAGCAGTATACCCTAGGCAATCCCCAATTATATAAGCAATTTAGGGTCCCCTCCATTTTTCAGTCTCTCGTTCCACTTCCACCTTTTTCTAGTTGGATGACAATCTTTCCATTAACTATTTGAGGTGCTATATAGGAAAGAGCCATACAGTTTTCCATAGTTCTGTTCTTAGAAAATAAGTTCACCTATGGTTGTGTTGGCTTCTCTTGTATTGGAGCAACTGGATCAGTGCCCTGTTTCAGTACTGTTTCATTTGGTTCCTGCACCACAGCTTCAATAGTTACGCTATTGTGCTCAATTGATGATTCTACGACCTCATTCCGCTTCTCAATTATCAAATCTGAACTCAATTGAAGCTGCTTAGTAGCTCCTATTGGAATCGAACACTGCCCAACCTCGTTAGGGTTCCTCACTTCACTCAAATGTATTGGTGTTATTAGCTCAGTTTCTAAATTTGTTGATTCTGGTTGCATGCGTGCCCCGACGAAGCTTCCAAAGGTGGGTACTTTCTTTGTCCTTCCACCGCGTCCTCGTCCTCGCCCTCGCCCTCCTACCATGGCTATCCATATCGGCACAGGTTAACTAACTTGCGTCGAGAGCATGAGAAGAGAGAGTATTATTTCCCTTATTTTTACACCGAGGTATCTGATATTTTATTCATTTTCTCCATGTGCTCATTTCTATATGATGGAGTCCATATATGAATCTTTGATCTTTAGTTTCGTTCTAGTCCAAGTGATGACAAGTAGTGAGTTGTTGATTTTCTGCGAAGTTTATTATTTCCTGCAATGCAAATAGAAGATTAGTACCATAGATTTATATAACAATTAACTTTACGCATAGTATTTTATCTTTATCAATGAGAGACGACGTATTGCATTTTTCTCATTCCCTAACTTGGAATTAACAGAATGTCCCCCTAGTGTGTGATCGACAAGGTTTAGCAGAATGAAGTTATAAAAAATAAAAAAAAATAAAAAAGCCAAAGCTTAATCAAATTAAGTTTATAAAAATCTGAAGTACTGACGTCCTTCATTAATTAGTACTGCGCTCATCCCGAACTATTATTACTAGGAATTATTAAAAGTGGATGAATGCAGGCTCCAAGAAAATATGGACAAATAGTTCCTATTAAGTCGTGCTAGCCACAAGAAACCTTAGTCAAGTTTTATTTTTGCCTTCAAGGTTGTCAAATAGAGCATAGTATCTATCAAACATTCAACAAAAGCAGCCAAAAATAATGAATGATGCAATGCCAGGAAATTTCTTAGCGCATTCCCTCGTGTGTGTAATATCATAATATTCATGAACCAAGACTAAGTTGGTGTTGTTCGTAATGAAAACAATCGATCTTTCGGTTGATAGTCCAAGTTCAAAATTCAGATAGATTGTCAAGGCAAACTTCAGACATTTTCTTAAGTTTTTTGCATTGCCAGGCCAAACTTCAGACACAAATTTTCGACGTTTGAAACTGTCGGACTAAACTTCAAACAAAAAAGTCTGAGGTCCTTGATGGGGATCTCTTCGTATTCTTAGCTTTTTGTATGCGGATGTCATGGGAGTATTTCTAACTGAAAATTGGGGCTGCAAGAGGTTCAGTTAACACCCAATCTTTTATTTATACTAATAGTAACAATATTGGAGTACTTGTAATGCCCTTTTTATAATGCTATGTGAGAAACACTCTAAATATTATTCAAATTTACTTGCTCAGAAAAAGTGTCTGTGTGTGTGTGTGTATATATATATATATATATGGTGACAACTACATTTATAGGGTCATTTGAGATGGTACAAGTCGAAATAGTAGCGAAAACAGGAAATAAGGGAAATTAAACTACAAGATAAAGTTCAAATAATCTCAAGGAAACTCAAAAATACAGGCACTTGTGTTTGGATAAGTCTTCCCCAATGAATTCAATATTCAGCTTGCTCAGACCCCTGAACCATTCTTCTAATTTTAGTATTGATATTGATATGAATCCAAACAACTTCCAACTTGTATTTCATGGAAATTTTGTAAGTTATGAGAGACTGATGAAAATGTTAAATATTTGACAGGACGCATATGGTGCAAGGTAGGACGCCAACCTTACTCAAAGAGAGTTAGACATGGTTATCAAGTGCATCAAATAAAGCCTTTGCTTAGACATTACTGTGACAAAAAGCGGTGCTGTTTCACTCCGACGGGTACCCAACTTTTTTGAAGGAAAAAGGTCTAGCTACAGGTGGTTTCGATACAGACCCAAACAGTATTTTTGAACTAGGGCAATTATGAAACATCGAAATTAAGCAGAGCTAAATAAACAGGAATTATGGCAAGGAGCACCACCTGCTTCCTTATTTTTGCAGAACAAAGTGGTCATACAAAGAACCTTCTAATGTATTTTATGACCAAGAAGTCCACTGTTCAACTTCAAAACTCAAAGATAAACAAACCCCTCTACCCTCATCCATTTAAATAAATACCAGACACGATGCAACAGCCATAACATGAGCCATTAAATTAGAAACTTACTTACTCAATGCATCTTTAAACACTCGTAAAGATTGTGGACTATAAATTCCAGGAGAGAGCAGCAATGGCACAAAACTAACCTCTCCCGAATTAAGCCACCATGCAGCACCCAAAGTGCTTTCAGTACCGTAGATATTGTTAGACAATCAGACACTGACTTAGCCAATACAAAGGAAATATCAATTGCGCCAAAATCAGGCACTAATGAGCCAAACATCAGTTGGTAAGCCTTGAAAACACATGAATGATGCAACAACCACTCCAAATGCAAGACATAGAAGGCAATCAATGCTAAACAATAAAATAATCACCCGGGATATGGCACTCTGATAGTAAAATTGTAAAGAGAAGCGAACTACAATACGCATGTCCCAAATTTCATTTAGCAATGATATCGGTCTCAAGTCCAAATTGATCTGGACTTCACTGAAAGTTCAGGTCAAAATTAAAATAATTTCTCTGTTTTGCATCTTTTTCATTAGGTAATTGCATCTGATAATGATCCAAACGAATCCACCAGTCCACTAATCATAGCACTTTTCAAACAACAAAACAATCTTCCCTAAGTAGATACCGTAAAGATCTTAATTGAAATCTTCAAAATATAAACACTAAAATAAATACCCTATATAATTATTTCATTTAGTTAACGATGTATAACAACATTTCTTATTTCAGGTTACCGCGAATATATGGATGCAGATTATTAAAAACAAATAGCTAGCAGGCCAAGAGCCACTATCCCAAATCAACAAACTCAAAATCAGATATAAAATGCAACGACGTAAATAAAATAGAGCAAAAAAACAACACGAATAATAAGTAGCATAATTTTATAACAAAAATACGGATATCAGAATCTCAATTCAGTGCCATTAGGACAAAAACACTACTCAAATGTCGCTGAAATTTTAAACTAGAACTTAAATAAACCTAAAGATGCGGTTCGGTTCGATTAGGGCGAAATACGGTTTTACTTGGATCGCTGCCTCATCTTTCGGCGCTTCCTCTTCAATCTCCTCATACGCTTCTTCTTCCACTGAAAACGAAAACAAAAAATAATTAACAAAATTGAGGATTAAAAATTTACAAAATGATATGCCACAGAATTCATATACCTTAGCTCTCATTCTGAATTGGTGATGATCAAAGAGTTCCTTTTACTTATCAGAGCGAATCTATAAATGGTAGAAGAAATGCGGCAGTGATGGGAGGAAGTGAAGTTAGGGTTTTGGATGGTTTATATAGGAAAGGCTAGAGTTTTGTGATTGGTGGATAGTGACGGATGGGCCAAAGGTAATTTGACCTGGGCCCAGTTATCAGGCCCAAATTACAATTTTTATCGTGGTTTTGAATGGGTCCAAATCTCCAGCCCAAAGAGGTCAGCGATCTATAGGTATCTTACACAAATAGCCGCTCATATTCACTTAATACTTTTTTTAGTTGACATACAAAAATTATATACTAATTTTATATATATATATATATATNGGTATGTTTAATTTAAGCAGTTGGGTGTACGTTTCTTACAATATTGTGATTATCTCTCTGGTTGTTATTGCTGATAAATTGCTAAGGGTTCCATTAATAAGGGTATTTTGGAGAAACAAATTATGCATTACGAAGATCCTTACATAATATAAAGTCGTATATCCAATCACGATTATACTGTACATCAAAATTTTACTGTTAAAAATTTCAAACAAAATGAAGTTTCAACTAAATTGCGCTGCATAAATTAAATCATTATCAATCTTGAAAGAGAAAAGAAAGTCCTAGCTAGGGAACTGGAGTTAGAAGAAGTAGATCGGTTAATGAAGTTGGAACGTACTAAGTAGCTATCGGCACTCGGACGAAGAAAGAAGAGGTGGAGGTAGTGAAATGCGAATGCAAATTACTTCAAGATCCCTAAATATTTATTGGCGGGAATGATAAAGCAAATGGTACTTTGGAGAAAGCAAAATATACATACATTGATAACCTAGTATGTTAGCAATATATATATATATGGTCGAGATCATAACCCTCCGATTTTTAGGCTCGGGGCACCGTCCTGAGTCCGAAGTCCGGGCAAGATCAAGTTCGAGGGATCACGCCAGAGTTCGAAGGCAAGGCACGATACATACTGAGGTCGAATATGTTCGACCCCGAAATAGTACCGTTGTACCGGGACGAGTTAGATTCCTGCCACGTCCTCAAAGTCATGGCGCAAATCCCGGAATATGATTGTACTATTCCGTACTAGGCGGTTAGACAGTTGTACCAAGAATATTCCTTACTGTAAATGAAAATATTCCTTATTTAGGGCTCCCCTGTTATATTAAAGGGACCCCAATCATTTGTAAACACACATTATCATCACTGAGCAAAGAATATACTCTCTACCTTTTTACTGTTCATCAGCATTGTCCTTTAGCTCCATCGTTACTTTATTTTGATTACTTAACTGTTCTTATTGCCCTAAGCCACCTCGAGGTCACCGTCTCGAGGTCATTACTGTCAAGTATTATTGGTTTGATTCACTTCTATATTTTATTTCTACTTTATATTTCTTAATTATTAATCGGTATTGAACTAAATTACATATATATCTTTAAAATCACTAATCAAATTTAATTATTACTTGGATTTTAAAGGTAAATAGTTTGACTCTCACCGTAGGGCTAAAGATAATAGTGATTATTTCTTTACTGATTCTCATTAGACACGTTATCTTTACACTTTTTCTTGTCAAGATTTTTTTATTCTCAGGCTTAGACATGTCTAGCACACAAAATGCACCTATTCATGATGACAAAATTCTTGGAGAAAATAGCAGTATAGGGGTCGGTGTACCACCCATAAATCCTGAGGAAGTGCCAAATATAGAGCTGGTTGATATCAGTTCGCATAACGCTCTAAACACGAATTCAGGTGCAGACCTCGTAGGGAATGCGCGCAGGAAAGCCCGGCCCGGTGGCCAAAGAGCACAAAGAATGGAAGAAGGGGGACTCAACCTCCAAGTGATATTCGAAATGTTGCAAGCTTAGCAAGTCGCCATCGCTCAACTTCAGAGTCAGAATAGAACTCCAAACACCGCCGAACTAGAGAACACTCGGCGTGTGGAATCGACGCTAGAGAGGCCTCATGAAAGTAGCTCGGGGACTGACCCCATAATTATAAAAATACTCGAGGAACTGACTAAAAGGATCGAGTCGGGAGAAAAGAAGATCGAAGACAATGATAAGAATGTGGAAACTTATAACTCCCGGGTAGACCAGATACCAGGGGCACCTCCAGTCTTGAAAGGTCTAAACGCTAAAAAGTTCATACAAAAACCTTTCCCCCCAAGTGCGGCTCCAATTCCCATTCCCAAGAACTTTCGCATGCCCGATATACCAAAATATAATAGGACAATCGACCCTAATGAGCACATAACTTCATACACTTGTGGGATTAAAGGAAATGACTTGAATGACAAGGAAATCGAGTCGGTGTTGTTGAAGAAATTCGAGGAAACACTATCAAAGGGAGCCATGATTTGGTATCACAACTTAGCTCCTAACTCTATTGACTCATTTGCTATGTTGGCATATGCCTTTGTGAAAGCACATGCTGGGGCTATAAAGGTGGCCACAAGAAAATCGGGCGTCTTCAAAATAAAGCAAAGGAACGACGAAATGCTAAGGGAGTTCGTGTCCCTTTCAGATGGAAAGAATGGAATTACCACCAGTCTCCGATGACTGGGCAGTATAGGCCTTTATGCAGGGTCTGAATGAAAGGAGCTCGATCGCCTCTCGACAGTTGAAGCAGAACTTGATTGAATATCCAGTCGTGACATGGTCGGACATACACAATCGTTATCAGTCAAAAATCAGGGTCGATGATGACCATCTGGGATCTCCCTCGGGTTCAGTTCATCCTAGCAGATTTGCAGCTAAGCCCCCGAGAGACACAGACCGAGAATCGAGATTCTATAAAGAATGGTACCAGCCATATGCCGAACGAAGAAACAATGGCCCGAGTTGTAACCCCCCTCGGAACGATCGAAGAAATAATCGAGGTCGAAGTTCTCAGGGACTCATGAGTAAGAGGGGGTTCGATAAACATACTGACCCCATAGAGGCTCCCCGATTATCAAAATACAATTTCAGCATAGATGCGTCGGGGATTGTCTCAGCTATTAGGAAAATCAAAGACACCAAGTGGCCCAAGCCAATTCAAACCGATCCTTCTCAAAGGAATCCGAATTTGATGTGCAAGTATTATGGAACACATGGTCATCGAACAGAAGATTGTAGAAAGCTAAGGGAAGAAGTGGCTCGTTTGTTCAACGAGGTCTACCTTCTTGAATTCCTAAGTAATCGGGCTAAGAATCACCTCCGAGAAAGAGATGCAAGGAAAAATGAGCAAGAAGAACCACAACACGTAATCCCCATGATCATTGGCGGAGTCAATGTTCCCCAACGACCTGTGTTCAAACGCACCAAGATGTAAATTACAAGAGAAAAATGGACTCGGAGCTATGTGCCCGAGGACGTCTTATCGTTTTGTGACGGGGAAGCAGAAGGCATATTTCAGCCTCACAATGATGCCCCGATAATCTCTATCCTTTTAAGTAAAATTCAAATTAAACATATTTTAGTGGATCCAGGTAGTTTAGCAAACATAATCAGATCGAGGATCGTGGAACAACTCGGCCTACAAGATCAGATCGTACCTGTGTCTCGAGTCTTGAATGGCTTCAACATGGCAAGCAAAACAACAAAGGGAGAAATCATCTTGCCAGTAAACATAGTCGGGACCATACAAGATACGAAGTTCCATGTGATCGAAGACGACATGAGGTACAACGCACTCCTCGGGAGACCGTGGATACACAAATGAGGGCGGTACCTTCAACTCTTCACCAAATGATAAAGTTCCCGGTGGAGGAAGGGGTGAAAACAGTCTACGGAGAGCAACATGCTGCAAAGGAGATGTTTGCTATCGAGGAAGTGGTGCCAGTACCTGAGCCCTTGACCTCGAGGAAATCGAGAAACAAAGGTAACCAGGCGACTAAATAGCCACCGCAACAGGTAACCAAACTTCTTAAAATAGGATCTATTCGGGAAGTAAAACACCCCGAGAGATTAGCCAACATTTTAAGAACTTGAATAGAACATGCCCAAAAGATCCTTTCCCCTTGTCAAGCGTCGATCGCATGATCAATGCCACAATTGCCCCCGAGACCCTAACTTTTCTTGATGCCTACCCCGGGAACTATCAAATTCAGATGAACCTGGAGGACCAGCAAAAGACTTCGCTTATTATTAAATTTGGAACCTATAGTTACAACGTAACGCCCTTTGGGCTAAAAAATGCAGGAAGCTACGCCTAGTTAACAAAATGTTCGAAAAACGAATAGGCAAAATAATGGAAGTTTGTATTGATGATGTGTTGATTAAGTCCCTCTGTGCAGAGGACAATTTAGTTCATTTACAGGAAACATTTGCGATCTTGAGGAAATACAGTGTAAAGCCTAGCCCGGAGAAATGTGCCTTCGGGGTTGGCACAGGTGAGTTCCTCAATGTCGTGGCATAAAATCGAGGTACCAAAATCAAGGCTATCGGGGGTGTCACAATCGTGGATAGCATGGAGGCCGTGCAAAGGCTAACAAGGCGAATGGCTACCTTGGGTCGATTTTTTTCAAGGTCATCGGATCGAAGTCACCAGTTCTTCTCTTCGCCAAAAAGGAAAAGGGCTTTGCATGGACCCCGGAATGTCAGCTAGCCTTAGAAGAATTAAAGCGATATCCGTCGAGTCCACCTTTGCTTCATACTCCTATGGCAGATGAAAAACGAGAAACAACACTTGTTCGAATGGTCGCTTAAAAGCAAAGGATCGAAAGATACTACAATAGGAGAACCAACCTCCGACGTTTCGGAGTCGGGGACTTAGTTCTACAAAAAGTCACCCTCGATACTATTGCTAAGGTACGATTTTATCCTTTTGTCCATTTGAGTTTAAAACTAACTCACTACAGATTTTGGATCGATGGCATACGATCTCGAAGGCGTCGTTTTTTACACGAAAGCCTTAGGTTTTAAAGCATGTGTTGCACTCTTTTTCCCTTAGATCGGATTTTGTCCCGAATGGGTTTTACCGGTTAGGTTTTTAACGAGGCAACACGTGCATGCTACCTAAGGAAAACTCAACAGTATCCAAGGCTTCTTTTCAATCTACCTCGAATACCGCGGGGCA